CGCTCAAGCACTGCAGTGCCAGAAAACAGGTCCTCTGCAGAGTCGGTGGCTTCAATTGGCACCACGACAGCCGCTGTTGGCACCACTGAGGAAACCTCCGTCCAGAGTCCAACCACTCCCTCCCTCGGCCAATCTTCTGCCACGCCATCGGAGGCAACCTCACTGCAAGAGAGCACAACCCCACGCCCGCATTCCGGCTCTTCCACGACCGAACCGGAGCTGAGCTCTGCTAGAGGAACCACCCTTCCCAGGCCAACTTCTGTCTCTTCTACTCACCACTCTTCGCTTGCCCCTACCGAGGAGACCACCGTTGCCTTCCGGGACACCAGTACTTCGGCTGAGGTCGAAGGAACTGCGGCTGAGTTCAGCAGCCCGCCACTCTCTTCGGCAACATTTCCTACTGCTGTGCAGTCGAGGACCTCGACTCTTGAGGTGACTGCTTCCACACCAAAGAGCCCGCCTTCCATGGTGGAGACCGGTGTGACGTCTCTTGAAAGTCAAACCACGCCAACCATCAGCAAGGGTTCTTCCACGAAGGCTGAGCTGACCTCAGCAGAAGCGACCGGAACACCCTCTCCAGCATCTGAGTCTCCCCTGCCCACGTCGCTTTCCATGCAGACTGTATCCTCTCGGGCTCGGGCCTCGTCGCCATCAACCCCTCCGGAGACCACCGTTGCGTCCCAAAGCACAAGTTCTTCTACTCGGGCAGAATCCATCACAGCCGAAGGAGGCAGCACGTCTTCGCTCCTTTCTGCACGCTCAAGCACTGCAGTGCCAGAAAGCAGGTCCTCTGCAGAGTTGGTGGCTTCAATTGGCACCACGACGGCCGCTGTTGGCACCACTGAGGAAACCTCCGTCCAGCGTCCAACCACTCCCTCTCTCACTGAATCCTCTCTTGCCCCTAGTGAGGAGAGCAGAACTCCACATCTGTATTCTCATTCTTCAATGAGCAAACTAGATTTCATCACTGTCCAAGGAATAACCCCACTCATTCATTCTGGTTCTTCAGCAATGTTTCCCACAGTGACCATTTTGTCTGTTACTGGTAGTGTCTCATCCTTTACTGAGAGTGCTAGTAGTCAAATGACCCTTAGATCTCATGAATCAACGATGTCTCCATCTTCTTCTATTGGAACAGGTGATACTTTATTCTCCAATTTTATTTTCCTTTTGTTTCCCTTATGCAATTGTCTTCCCGTAGGTGATATTCATGCTGTCCTCATAAGTAAAGCCGGTTTGAGAGCTCTTTTGCTGTCTTTTCTTTGGAGTTTTGGCGAAATTTGAATGTCTTTATCTTGATTTTGTAAATGTAACATAAAGTGATGGCATTGTCATTTTATAAAATTGGTTCCATGCCAATAGATCCTTTTGTTCTGATTTTAATTATTTTTAAAATTAATAATTAAAAAATGGTTATTTCCCCATATTTTATATTGATATTAGTTATAAAATATGGGTTGCTTTAAGGCTATCCTTTGTTTGGACTTTTGAACAATTAAAAAGCCCAAAATTATTTTTTTTAAAAAGGGGATGGGTATCTTTGATAACTTCAGGTATAGGAATGTTTGTAATAGTTATCTTAAGTTTTTTATTCTTTTATTAGGCGATATAGTACATCCTGTCACAGTTGGTGAAGAAGGATCAGAGTATCGAAAGACAGTCTCTATATCAACTCTGCCATCCCTGGTCTCTTTTCACACAGTGGAAACTACTAATATACTTGGTAAGTTACCTACATTTTATATGAAGGGAATTAAGTCAATTGCAAATGGTTTAAAATAACCGATGTTAATACAGGTAGTCCTCATTTAGCGAGCATTCACAGTTAACAATGGTGTTGAAGAAGTAACTTTACCTTGCATTTGCAATCTTCGCGGGTCTGTAAGCAAAGTAAGATTGTAAATGTATTTACGGTTTCACTTAGCAACTGCTCCGCATAAGGATTAGTCCGAACTGTGGTTTTTATATACATGTTGTTGCTTGGTCGTGGAAGGCTGAGCTAAAATTGAGGGAGGGATAGGAAAGTTATCAGCATCGCATTACAGGGTGAGCCACCCATTTGTATAGCAATAGCAATAGCTCTTAGACTTATATACCGGTTCACAGTGCTTTTACAGCCCTCTCTAAGCGGTTTACAGAGTCAACCTATTTGCCCCCAACAATCTGGCTCCTCATTTTACTCATCTCGGAAGGATGGAAAGCTGAGTCAACCTTGAGCCTGGTGGGATTTGAACTGCCAAATTGCAGTCATCCGGCAGTCAGCAGAAGTACTGCACTCTAACCAATGCACCTCTGAGGTATAGCATTTGAGGACCCTGTAAAGTAGTGCGAAAATAGGTTGAGATAAGGTAAGTCTGGTTTGATTTTGTGATTTCCCCCTTCCCCACTCAAATGATTGTTATTGATTAAAAGGATCAGCCTACATTTCACTTGTGGGAGTCAGAGCCCAAAAGTAAATTCTTAATATTCATTCCAGCTATCTGTTCATTGCCGGATGAAGGCCTCTTCTGCATGTTTCCAACCAATATGGTCTTTTTCCATTTGAGCCCGCAATATTTTCTGATGTTGTCCATCCATCTTGTTTTAGGTCTCTTTCATGGATGATTTTTTATCAAGGGGGATCCATTCTATGGCTGTCTTGGTCCACCTGCCATCAGTCCTTCTTGCTATGTGACCAGCCCATTTCCGTTTCCATTCTTTTACTCTTTTGATGGCCTTGCATATTTTTGTTTGTTCTCTATTCCACTTGAAGGTCGTTCTATCTTGTCTCGTGATGCTGAGCATGTATCTTTCCATGGCTCTTTGTGCCCCTGGTAGCTTTTATATCGATTGTGAGGTTAGTGTCCATGTTTCACCAGCATACGTTAGGTAGCACTCACTGATCGAACCTGAGGTTAGCCATTTCTGATAATTTCTCCTCTCCTGTCTTGGCACAATCCAGTTTACAGAATGTGACCGGGACAGAGACTTCTTTCAAATGTGGTTCCATCTTCTTTGCATTCATTTCAGTATCTTGGTTCCCAATTAGATTATTCTGTTCCCTTCTCCTACTTTAGACATCTTTGCTGTTCAGAGTTTTGCGGTATTAATTCAGTGCCAGAAAAATAAACACGGATGATGCTTCATTTAACGTCTTTATAAACATAATAAGTAGATTTTACAAACCAGTTGTAGATTTCTCCAACATGGAGCAAACTCAGACAGAAGTAGACATGTTACAAGTTCAGAGCTTCAGCAGCAACAGCAGCTCAGAAACAGACATCAGTTTCATTTTAGTTCAGCAGGCAAGCATTATACACAGCAGAAGAGAGATGCAGTTTCATTTTCAATAGACAAACTCAGAGCTCAACATAGCTTCAGAGCTGCAGAGCTTAACATTGCTGCAGAGTTGCAGAGTCCCGCTAGGCTACTTTTAGTTTCAGTTTCCAAACAGTCCTCATTGGCTGACTTAGTTGCTATGCCTATTCATTGGATGACCTTGTTACCATGCTCTATTCCAGTTCATGAATGTACTCTGACATTTGCATGTATTTCAGATGAACTTACTGATTTAATTAAACAAACAAATTGGTAAAAGCATTGGAAATGGTTGTTGAGAAAGGCAATAAAGCTAAAAGGCAGGGATATAGCATTGTAATCTTATTAGCTGAGTTAGTTGTCAGGCTAGGTGCAGAATTTTAAGTATTTATTTATTTATTTGTTTTTGAGACCATCTGATCAGCTAATAACTTTATGGTATAAGGCTGTTGTATACTGTTTTTATTGCTGTGATGTAACTTTTACTGTTACTAGTTTTTGTTGGGTTAATTCTGTTTGTGTTTAGACCATTTCCACTTTGGGGCACATAATGAACAATATTTTTGTGGTTGGTTATCAACTAAGGGGTGCAGTGATTGCAATGGCAGGAAAATGTTCTCTTTACAGTAGTGCCACCTGGTGGTTCTGGTATTTATAGCCTAAAGCTAGGACATGCTACTGAACATAATCTGGGTTTGCTAAATCAGCATTTCTTTTTAACTTTTTTTCTCTAAGAAGTTACTCCTTACCACTTTTAAAAATTATGGAGGACCCCAAAAGAGTTTTGTTTGGGTTATGCTTCTCAAAAACAATCACAGTAAAAATAATATTGATGCATTCATTGCAGCTACCATTTCTCATAATTGTTTTATGGGATTTTTTTCACCATTTTCACCTGGCAAATAAGTTTGATTTGGAGGACTCTTGGAAGGGTTTTGGGGCACCCCCCATGGATCCTGGGGGGGACTATTGATTATTTGTAGCAAGATCCCTGAGTGAGAAAAGCTTACAAATATTTGCCCAGATCTATAGCCATTGTACACAGATATTAAATATCTGTCTTCGTATGAAGACATGTGCAGATCTGTGGCTCCGATTCAGCACTATTGGCAGTCTTGGAAAATATATTGAATCCCCATCTTCAGCAAACCTAACTCTGTGTTCACACAAAATATTCCATAATTCAATAATTTCTAAGAAAAATTAGGTCTCCACAATTATATATAGCATGATTTATCTATCTATCTAGTATAGTATTATCTGTCTCTCTATCTATCAATAATTGCATTTAACAATGAATTTAAGGACCATCATCAGTGAGCTGTTGGACAGTATTACTTGGTCTGTTGTGTGGATGCTTGTCTGTTTTTAAGGGGTGAGGAAACTTGGCAGGTGGGGGTATGTTTGGGGATTGTCATGTGTGTGTGAGTGTTGGGTCTGGTCTCTGGGTGTTATGTAAATTTCACTGTATGTGTATATTGTGTATATTTGTACAATGACAATAAAGTATTATTATTATCAATTTATCATCAGTTTGGAGCAGAGGTGGTATTCAGCAGGTTCTGACCAGTTCTGGAGAACTGGTAGCAAAAATTTTGAGTAGTTTGGAGAACTGGCCAATACCACCTCTGACTGGCCCCGCCCCCATCTATTCTCTGCCTCCCAATGAGTCCCAGCTGATTGGCTGGGTCTTCTTGTGTTGCCCTGTACAGGAGAACAGAGCTGGAAAGCAGGTTAGTGGGGTGGGGACGGAATGAGGATTTTGCAGTAACCTTCCCCTACCACGCCCACCAAGTCATGCCCACCAAGTCATGCCCATGAAGCCACGCCACTCCCACCAAACCACGACCACCAAACGGGTAGTAAAAGTTTTTGAATCCCACCACTGGTTAGGAGTAGTTAAGTTGTTGGGCTAGAAACCAGGATATTGTGTTTGTTGTTGTTAGCCGGCAGCAGGTGCGGATGGCTGAGGAGAGCAAGGACTCAGATGAGGGGCCAGGACCATTAGGGAGTGGACTGCTGTCTTCAGAGATTGTGCGGGCTGGCAGCAGCGATGAGGAGGTTCCCGAAGAGCCTGTGCCAAGTGCGCATGCGCGCAGGATTGCTCGCAGGAAAGAACAGCTGTAACAGCATGGGCGACTTGGGAGTAAGGCTGCAAGATAATGGCCCCTCCTTCAAGAAGATAAAAGCCAGCTGTGAAGTGAATGTTCTTTGCAGGAAGCAAAGATGTTTTGAAACTCAGCCTCATGGATATTACAGTTGGTATTTGAAGACAAAATATTTCTTCTCTGTTGTTTTTTGGCAGCCTTGCAAAAACTTGGCAAGGCTCTTTCTTTTTGGAGCTAATTAGTTGGAAGCAGCCTTTTATCTGTGAAGAAACAGGATTCATAGGTGAAACATTAAAAGGTTGTGCTGCTGCCTTTGTCTTGTGTTTGCTCTCTTGGAACCAGGTTTGGGTCAGAACAGAGTTCTAGTTTTCCTTTAGGTTGGAAACCCACCTGGTAACTAGGTCGGTTTGAAACTGGGTAACTTTGGACCAATCTTTCTCAGTCCAGACCACCTCACCAAGTTGTGGTGGGGAAAAACAGGAGGAGGGAGAATAATGTATTTCCCCTTGAATTGTAAAAACCAAAGCTGGGATATAAATTTTAAAAAAATACAGTATACAGTGATTTTTAAATATATCAAAGAGATAACTTATAAATACTAAGGACAGTCTTGCTGGCATTTGCTGGTAGAATGAAAAAGAAAAAAATGGCCAGGAGCAAAATGATGGGCTCATTTACAGCAGCAATTGGAAGCAATGTTGGGCTCATATTATTTAACTGTGTTGTTGCTAAGAGTAAACATCAGCTTTGTGCCACATAACCAATCAATTTATTAGAATTATATGCATCCTATTTGTATTTGTTGAATTTTGATATGAGCTGCAGAATCAAAATAGCCCAAATTATTTCTAACTTTCCTTCATATTTAGCTGACTTTTTTGCTGTTTGTTTCCTGATAGTTGTGCCGCAGTCAATGCATGCGGTCCTTTTTGGCATATTGAAAGATGCTTCCCTGCCTTAAGATGTTTGCAAGCAATGATTCAACACAGGCGATATTTCTATGGAGGAAAACAGGCTAGGAAAGAATAGGCATTATTTTCCTGACGCAGTCTCACTTAGGCTCAGGTAGAGCAGGGCAGGGCTACAAGTATTCTCTCTTGCATTCCTTCTGAGGCCATGAATCAAACCAGAGCTTTAAAAATAGCCCCACATCTTTTTTTTCCTATTTTGCTGTTTCTGTTGCATGACAGGATACCAAATAAAAAATATACTTGGACCTTGCTTACTACCATGATGTCTGATTGATTGGCTATAAGTACATAAACAAAACTTTTAAGTTTTTGTTCTTAGCCTGAATCAATCAATTACAGTCACTTCTTCCCAGGGGTGGGATTCAGTGGTGGTATTCAAACATTTTTACTACTGGTTCGGTGGGTGTGGCTTGGTGGGCATGACTTGGTGAGCACGGCAGGGGAAGGATACTATAAAATCTCCATTTCCACCCCACTCCTGGGGGAAGGATATACTGTAAAATCCCCATTCCCTCCCCATTCCACTAACCTGCTTTCCAGCTCCGTTCTTCTGTCCAGGGCAACAAAAGAAGACCCAACCGATCGGCTGGGACTCGGGAGACAACGAATAGATGGGGGCGGGGCCAACCAGAGGTGGTATTTACCAGTTTTCCAAACTACTCAGAATTTCCGCTACCGGTTCTCCAGAACTGGACAGAACCTGCTGAATACCACCTCTGGTGGGATTCCATCAGTGTAACAACCAGTTTGGTAATCGCACGCTTTCACAATCCAAAAATGTCTCAAGTGTCACTTGAATACAAGATTTTGTTTCTTTGCTCCTGTGATCTGATAAATATATGATAAGATTCTTTTGGGGCAGCAGTCTTGGTCAAGAAGCAGGGACACTAAAAATAACCACCCAATGTTGTTAGTTTCCTCTTCTTTTGTTCACATGATACTTGGCTGGTTTTAACATTCAGGCGTAATGTTCTTTCCTCTTTAATTCTACAAATATATTTATATTTATCATGCATACCACATATAAGTCATGGGTCTATTGTTTGGCTATTGGCACAGGAACATCTACATTTGGTATTTGAAAGATTGATGACTAGAACTGTAATGATGAATGTAATGTTGAATTATTAGGAAGTTCCCATTTGTTTCATGCAGAGAATTCAGATGTCAGGTTGTTGACTAATTGACTATGCTGGTTCTCGGTTAGATCCAGCAGGGGGATGTGTGCAATCACAGGAGATAAGTTTCAGTTTAAGCTTAGAGAAGAATGAATTTGCCGCTCCCTCAAATTTATTGTCATTCAAGCAAGCTTATTTAGTCTGCACCCCATCTGCTTTTGGGGGTGGGGGAGCTTTCAACAGGCCTTCTTCTGATGTTCAGATTGGACAGGCAGATTCAAATCTAGCAAGACATTGCCCACTATATTCTGATGCCAGGCTATATAATACTCGGTTTCCAAGGTAACAAAAACTGTAGTTCCAGTTATTGATCATGGTTGGTGATATGCTTCAATAATATTTTTTTTCTCAGCTATCTCAGCACAAATTTTATCCCAATACATTTTGATAGCCAATACTTTTAAGTAAATGATAAAGCATTTTCTTTTGTAAAGTTTTGATCTGCAAACTGATTTCATTGTAAATTATGAGATAGATTATGTAGATTATGAGGGAGAAAACTATTATAAAATCAAAGTCACCCTCGGGAGAGATCCTTCCTTCCTTCCTTCCTTCCTTCCTTCCTTCCTTCCTTCCTTCCAATTTGGAGAAAGGGCTTGCTTAGATTAGGAATATCGCTCTAATGAAATTTCCTTCCCTACCACTGTTGCCTTGATACTATGGAAGCGTCACTGTGTGTATTTAGTTTTTACTTTACTTCACTTTTACTCTCACATGGTCCAGAAAGTCAGTTTATCTTGTTACTTCATTTTTGGTTCTGTAAGTAATATTAGTAAACATCATTTATATCAGATACTACAACCATCAGATCAGGGCTGCAAAAATCCAAACACTAGAAACAGCAAAGAACTCTTCTAGTTACTTTCTTGCATCTGGATAATTTGTAAGATTTGGTCAACTTTAATCATTTTGAATCAATCCCACCAATCATTCTAAAAGGATATGGGTTCCACTATACTAGGAAAAAAAAAACCTTTTATAAAATAGCCACACACTTATATAAATATTTCTGTTATATTTATAATTGAAGACAAGAATGAAAGACAAACCTTTGCCAGTTTACCCTGCATTTCACATAGCCACATTTCAAAGGTACTTCCAGATTTGATTGATAGAGCCATGGTTAGAGCAGGGATTAGAATGCAATATTGCAGTCTAACTCACCGTTCACCACCAGGAGTTTAGTTCTGACTGGCTCACGGTTGACTCAGCCTTTGATCCTTCTGAGGTCAGTAAAATACAGACCCAGATTGTTGGGAGAAATAGGCTGACTCTGTAAACCTCATAGAAAGGGTTGTAAAGCACTACAAAGTGGTATATGGAATAGAATAGAATAAAATAGAATAGAATTCTTTATTAGCCAAGTGTGATTGGACACACAAGAAATTTGTCTTTGGTGCATATGCTCTCAGTGTACATAACTCTATATGTACATTTAATTCTAAGTGCTGTACATGTAATATAATTATTATTATATTGTAATTATATTACATGTACATATAATATAATTATACATGTAATATAATTCGAAGTGCTATTAGGAAATGGGTAGCACATAAATTTAATAAATAATAATAAATAATACAGTACCATCTCTGGTGCACTTCTCATTAATGGAGAATGCCAATTCATATGATCATTTAGGAGGCACTTGCAAAAACATAACTTTTGGCTTCAAGACAACTTCTTCCCCTATGTTTTTTTTTTTTTTCAAAGATAGACTGCTCTTGAACTTGGTGTTTCTACACAAGGAGGCATAAAAGCATTCCATCCCACCCAGATCTAAAAAGCTTTGTAGAAATTAGACAAAACATGATTGGCAAGATCTGTTCCCATTGAAACTTAAGCACAGGTAGTCCTTGACTTACAGCACTTCATTTAGTGACCATTTAGTGACCATTCAAAGTTACAATGGCACTGAAAAAAGTGGCTTATGACCATGTTTCACACTTAGGGCCGTTGCAGCTTGTGATTTACATTTGGATGCTTGACAACTGACTCACATTTATGACGGTTGCAGTGTCCCGGGGTGAGGTGATCCCCTTTTATGACCTTCTGACAAGCAAAGTCAATGGGGAAGCCAGATTCACTTAACAACTGTGTCATTAACTTAACTACCGCAGTGATTCACTTAACGAACGTGGCAAAGAAGTTGTAAAATGGGGCAAAACCTATTTAACAAATTTCTCACTTAGCAACATAAAATGGGGGCTCAATTGTGGTCCTAAGATGGGAACTCCCTGCATTTGTCCAGTAGTTTCAGGGGAGAGTTCTCTTGCAGAGAGTGTTGAATTGATCATTCATATTAGTTTGTCACAGCCTTTTATGCTATGATGACCTTTCCAAAAGATATTTTTCTTATAGTTCCTCTTATCAAGGGTGTGAAATGAACAGCTCTAAGGAGCTTGTGTAACGCCAGAGAGAGGTGTGTCTTCTTTTCACTGTCCTGCTACAAAAATTGGACCAACCCAGGAAGAAACGGCATTATAGAGCATGATACTTGATGTAGGAATTACAACTATCTAGAAAGTTAGAGGAGAGTCAGAACAAATATTACGGTTTGGATGCGAGAAAAAAAAAAGCAGAACTTTGATTTTGTTATCTGTTTTACAACGAGCAGTTTCCAGGAAATGGGCATTTTCTTGGTCATTTTTTGTCTCTTGGGTAAGTGCAATTTAAATTTATTTGTTTATTTTGCAAATGTTGCAAGAGTTGGATTTGCCAGAAAGTGCAAATAGCATGCTGGCATATACATCTCACTGCAGTACCTTGTGCTTTAACTTTTTAAACTACAATTTGGTTTCTATTTAGGAGTGGATATATTGTAAAATACAAAACCAAATCAAAGGTCTCTCAGGTTGGTTTATTGGAGTCAATACTGACAGTTAATATCTAGAAAGTTTTAATCCTAATATATTAGTGGTGGTTGCAAATTGCTGATCAAGATACTGTAAACTGTTTAAACTTTTTAAATAGAAAGCATTGACAATTCAAAATTCAGATGTACTGTTTCTTAGAGACATACGGCTTTTTCGTTTTTCTTGTTTGCTAATCTAAAATCTAAATCTAAAATCTAATCTGAAAAAGAGAATTTTATTTAATTTACACGTTATAACCAGTACATATGGAGAGATATGACATGGTGAGGGACATTAGGATGAAGGAAAAGGGACTGTATCTATCATATTTGTATAGCCCCTCATCACACATGAAAGTAACTCATACCATACTTCCATAGTGTGCCATTTCCCTTGTCCAGGTAGTCCTTGAATTACAACAGTCCATTTAATTACAGTTTGAAGTTACAATGGCACTGAAAAAGTGCAAAGAAGAGCAACTAAGTTAATTAAAGGCCTGGAGACAAAAACATGCGAAGAACGGTTGCAGGATTTGGGTTTGGCCAGTCTAGAGAAATGAAGGACTAGGAGGACATGATTGCAGTATTCCAGTATTTGAGGGGTTGCCACACAGAGGAGGGGGTCATTTATCAAAGCACCAGAGGGCAGGACAAGAAACAATGGATGGAAACTAATAAAGGAGAGAAGCAACCTGGAATTAAGGATAAACTTCCTAACAGTGAAGACCATTAACCAGTGGAACAGCTTGCCTCCAGAAATCGTGGGCACTCCATCACTGGAGGTTTTTTAAGAAGAGGCTGGACAGTCACTTGTCTGAAATGGTATATAGAGCCTCCTGCTTGATCAGGGGGCTGGACTAGAAGACCTCCAAGGTCCCTTCCAGCTCTATTCTGATTGAAAAAAGTGACTTATTCCACTTTTCATACTAATGACTGTGGAGCATCCCCATAGTCACATGATTTACATTTGGATGCTTGACAACTGGTTCATATTTATGACAGTGTCCTAGGGTCATATGATCATCTTTTGCAACTTCTTACAAGCAAAGACAATGGGGAAGCCAGATTCACTTAACAACCGTGTTAACTAATTTAACAACTTCCGTGACTCCCTTTAAAAAAACGTGGCAAAGAAAAGTCGTAAAATGGGACAAAACTCACTTAACAACATAAATTTGGGGCTCAGTTGTGATCATAAGTTGAGGACTATCTGTAAAATGCTGGTCTAAATGTTGAACAAGAAGAGCTATTAATTTACTAAGGTTTCATTTCCCACTGTTTGTAGTCCGCCCAGTTCAAAAATTCTGTGTACAACAAAGCATACGTACAAAAGTAAAAATTCAAAGCAGATCAAATCCACATTTGATGGATGCTCAGAACAATTAGTTAAGACTAAAGACATGACTAAAGAGCCAATTTCACATGGTAAAGGCATCAAGCCTTACTTAATCGCTAATTAACTGGGACATTTTGAGTTTTAGTTCCGCCAGGGGTATGAAGTTAGTTGGGTAACCTTGTACCGCTGCCTTTCTCTCAGCCCTGGAAAGCCACCAATTGCAAATCACTTCCAAACACCTTACCAAGAAAACAGCAGGGACTTGTCTAGCCAGACAGAAGGATTCAAAACCTTATTGAAAAAACCGAAATGGACACACACCAAAACAATGGAATAAAGTTTTCATTGCTTTACGGGGTAGCAATGGGGAGAAGACTTAAGTGTCCTTCCAAGTGCTGAAGTGTGGAGTCATGAAGAGGTCTGCACCCTTCATACAATTTGTGGTTGGGTGGGGACATTCCAATAGAATAGAATTCTTTATTGGCCAAGTCAAGCGTGATTGGACAGAACGATTCTATTTAAGAATTCTTGAGTTTGTGTTTTTATTCGATAGTGCTTAGTTTGGTCTACAAAAATGTATCCAATCTATATAGCAAAAGCAGATGTTTTAAGACAAAATGTGTTGAACGATGCCTATTTTGAAAACCAGTGACAGGCATCTTCATTCTGCTTTCTAAAAAAACAGATGGATTTGTAGATCAAAGCGGGGCCCTATCTATTTGCATCAACACAGGTAACCCTGAGGAGTTGTCTTCAAAACAATCAAGAGGGTGGCCATTAACGGTGTGATTGACACCCTGCCCTGTTTTTATATAGACAGCATTGCACATACCACATATAAGAAACAGGGATGGGGTTGGGATTGTGTGGTTACAGTTGCTGTCTTGACATTTCAACACATGCATACACCTATGGGTCGTCCTCTGTTGGGTGACGGTCAGCCAGGTAAGATTTTCACAGGCAGGTGACAAAGATGAAGGTCCATAACTAACACCATTCTTTGATTACTGTAAAAGAATTCACCTAATCTCTTTATAAACCGTCACCACCACACCTTGTAGTTGCAAATTCCACAAGTATACTTCTGCTATCAAGCTGTACAGCAGGGGTGTCAAACTCAAGGCCCGGGGGGCGGATCTGGCCCACAAGGTGCTTAGATCTGGCCCACGGGGATGCCCTGGAAATAGCGAGGGACCGGCCTGCGGCGCCTCTGCCAGCAAAAATGGAGCTTGTGAGGGCCACGTGTGGCCCCCAAGCTTCGTTTTCACTGCCAGAGGGTTGCAGGAGGCTGTCCCAGCCAAAAACAGAGTTCAGGAGCCTGTTTTCACTGGCAGAGCACTCAGGCCACCACAGGCACCCTCCCGACACAAGTGATGTCATGCTAGCCACACCCACCCTGGTCACACACCCCGGCCCTCCCGTGGTCAAACATAGCCCTGATGCGGCCCTCAATGAAATTGAGTTTGACACCCCTGCTCTACAGGATGATGTTGCAAAGGGAGAATGGGACATTTCTGCTCCATTTCTTATTACTGTGACTTAAGGATATTCTGTGAAACTTATCCCCAGGGGCTGAAGGCAGGAAAAGGAAGTGATTCTACATTCAATGTTCCCATGTTCTAGTATTTTTCAGCCATGGCAACTTTAAAATGTGTGGACTCCAACTCCCAGAATTCCCTAGTCAGGGCAATTCTGGAAGTTGAAGTCAACACAGTTGCCCTAAGAATGATTGAGAATCATTGCCTTAGTCAATGCAGAGTTAAATTTTCAGGATGGACAATTTTTGGCTACAGAGAGATGCATCCAGAGATGGCAGTCCCCAAAGTACTATGTTAAAGGAAAATCCAGATTTCATTCAATTTCATTTACCTTTAAGTTAACTAACATTTCGAGGTAGCGAAGATGATGCCATTCCAGTAACTTATTTAAGAAGAACTGTTGCAGGAACTGGGCATGGCTAGTCTAGTGAAGAGAAGGACCAGGGGAGACATGATAGCAGTCTTCCAATATTTGAGGGGCTGCAAACAGAGAGGAGGGGGTCAAGCTGTTTTCTAAAGCACCAGAAGGCCAGACAAGGAATAATGGATGGAAACTGAACAAGGAGAGATTTAACCTGGAAATAAGGAGAAACTTTCTGACAGTGAAAACAAACAACCAGTGGAACAGCTTGCCTTCAGAAGTTGTGGGAGCGTCATCACTTGAGACTTTCAAGAAGAGATTGGATTCCCATCTGTCAGAATTGGTGTAAGGTCTCCTGCTTGGGCAGGGGGTTGGACTAGATGACCTACAAGGTCCCTTCCAACTCTGATTATCTGTTATCTCTTATAATTAAACAGTTTGTTTAGTATTTAAACAACTGATTTAATAATTGTGTTTATTTCACAATTATTATGTAGCTTATTTATTTAATTGTTTCCGTTATTTAACTTCCTGCTCCCATAAATATTCAGTTATCTTTCTGGAGGGCTTTCCAAGGCCTTCTGGATCAAGATATAGCTCTAGTCTAGGGCACCAAATTATGCCGTAGATGTTGCCATATACCTGGAGAATAACTCACCGTTATCAATTTCTTTTTAAGAGGTGAACAGTGCTATTAAAAAATATTTCATTTTTTTAAAAAAGCAGGTTTTCAGGAGCTGAAGATTGTAAGATCACAGTGACTTGAGGATATTTTTGAAGTCAGTAGAAGAGCAATTTGGAGCACATTTATGTTTTGGAGATGGATGAGATTACAAATCTGTAGCATAATTAAATGTATAATGCCTGTTAAAAGAGCTTAGCACCTTTTTTTTCTCCCATGAAAAAATCAGTAAGAAATTATGCTATTGTAATGGTAGCACTCAATGGTTGCCCTCAATTTTCACTTAACGATCATTCAAAATTACAATGACTCTGAAAAAGATGTACAACCTATGTTTTCTGTAAACAATCTATGATTGTTGATTGTTGACCCCCCCCCCCAGGGTCACATGATCAAAATTTGGGTGCTTGGCAACTGGTAGGTATTTATGATGGTTGCAGTATCCCAGGGTCAATGATCATCATTTGTGACTTTCTTCTCTGGTTTCTAACAAGTAAAGGGAAGACAGATTTGCTTAATAATTATGTGATTAATTTAACCATGTTGATTCACTTAACAACCACAGCAAAAAAGTCATAAAAGTGGACACAACTCATTTAACAACTGCCTTACTTAAAAACAAAAATTCTGGTTCCAAGTGTGGTTATAAGTTGAGGACGATCTGTAATTGATACTGGTTGTTAAGCTTTGGTGATATAGACTGAGATAGATAGATAGATAGATAGATAGATAGATAGATAGATAGATAGATAGATAGAT